TTATTATTGTTCCTTGGGTGTTTCTTGTTTTTTGTTTTTTGGTACTGGGAATTGAACTCAGGACCTTGCACTTGCCAGGCAGGCACTTGTGCCACTGAGCTCTGTCCCTGGCCCTGGTTTTGTTTTTTGAGACAATATCTCACTGTGTAGCCCAGGCTGTCCTTGAACTCTTGGTGATTGTCCTGCCTCAGCCTTGAGAGTACTTGAATTTACAGGCATGTGCCATCACACCTGGCTACTTTTAAGTATCACAATTACACCTTCCTTCTTGAAGTCATTTAGTGTATCAGATGATTGTGGATGTTGGTTTATTTCCTTGAAAACATTAAATCTGAAGAGTGAGCTTAAAGAAGAGACTTTTATTAGTTCAATGCATTTGTACTGTACATAACAAATACGGTGAAGGGAGAGTAATATCATGTGGAGCATGTTTGTTACTGTGTGGTAACTGAAATCAGTATCCATCATAAATGAACAGTGAGCTACTACTAACAAGTTATGTCCCTTAAGAAGAGAGCCAGTCACTTTTTTCTCTAAGCAATTCCCTTCTGCCATAAACCATACAGACGTAATTAAAATAGATCATTGGAGAGTTAAAATACTGTCTAGCCAAAGCCTTAAAAACTTAGCCCTAACAGAAGAAATTAAATTGTGTAGATGACCTTAACAAATATTTTATAGCATCTTTCTGGAAACACTTCTGCCTGCTTTATATCCCAGTTGGTCTCTGGCACCCAGATTTTGGCTATACATCAAGGCATCAATAGTAAGAATAACATTTAATAGTAAGACTTTCTAAAAATATACAAATGCAGTCTGTTCCTTCTATTCATTTCTTGAGGGGAAAACAATCTTCAAAGCAAGTGAAGGAAGCTGAAAAAATTCCTCGATTTGTGTGTTAGAAATGCAAGTCCATCTTATTTTCTGGCTTTGATCTGGTTGTCAGTGGGAATAGGCTTGCCCAAATGGTGGCCCACAGAAAGGCCAAATTTCTTGTTTTTCTGCTCATCTTGTATCTCCTTTTTCAGTAAGAATCCTGCCTGGAAGTTTAAGTCAAAGAGGCTGCTTGGAGCAAAATACAGTGGCGTCTCGTCCCAAATACTCTCCAGGCGTTTCTTCCATCCTTCTAGGATTTGAGTTCGGACATCTGGTGGAGTGTGCCCAATGCTGTATGTCAGCTGAGGTTCTAAGACTTGAAAGCCACAAAAGTGCAGAGTGCCGCTCTGGGGAGACACAAGGCATAGAAAAAATCACAGCTAACCCTGTGTAGTTTGTACTATAAAAAAAGTGTCAGTCCGGGTTCCCAGTGCGCCTCTGCTAAATGACTTGGCCACACTAAGTCATTTCTTAAATTGTCCGGGGCGCTCATAGTGTGTGGCAGAAAACTGGAGAAGCCCAGGGAGACTGGAGAGAAATGTGAGTCATCCGGAGAGAACCACGCAGTGCACACTGAGGGCCAGAGGCACTAGTCCCCCACGTGCACACAGGAGGGTCAGAGCACAGTTCTGCTCTCTCACCTGCCCAGCCTCACTCACTACCTGCTACCTGTTTTAGCTTCTTCAGCGATACTCTTCTTCCTTTTTTGTTTTGTTTTGTTTTTTTCCAGTACTGGGAATCAAACTCACGACCTCGCGCTTGCCAGGCAGGCGCTGTGCCGCTGAGCTAAATCCCCAGCCCCAATACTCTTCTTGGAATTAATAAAACCTTGAAGGTGTGCCAACTTGGCCCTTCTGCCAAAAGTTCTATTACATTAGGGAGAATTGCAGCTTCTGAGCTGCTAACTCTTGCCAAGGCATGCAGATGTGCATTTCTCTGCCTCTCCACATAAGGAGATGAATCTTTTTTTTTTTTTTTGGTTTTTCTCTGGTACCGGGAACCGAACTCACGACCTTGCGCTTGCCAGGCAGGCGCTTTTGCCGCTGAGCTAAATCCCCAGCCCCAAGGAGATGAATCTTTACAAAAAAGAGAATTCAGGTAGCTACTTTACTCTGCTTGCAGCCCCCTTCCTTGGGAAAGATGATCTGCAGAGTCCAGCCACTCCAAAGAGCCCATCTCAGACTTGAGTCTTACCGTCTCTGAAATGGGGTGGGCTAATGATTTCTAAAGCTATCCAGGGCTCACGTAGTCTATGAGGTTGTACCAGACTGTTAGAGCAGGCCAGGAAGGTTGGAGGGAGGTATGAGTCATCTGGAGGGAACCAGAGCCCCAAGTTATACAAATCAAGGGCCAGGTATACTAGTTCTTGGTTAAGAGACAATGACCTTGTTTTTGTCTTTTTGAGACAGGGTCTCCCTATGCAGTTCCGGCTGGCCTTGAGCTCACTTTGTAGCCCAGGCTAGCCTCAAACTCTTAATGATCCTCCTGCTTCAGCCTCCCGAGTGCTGGGATTACAGGCGTGCCCAGAAAAAGACAATGACATTTACTGTGCTATTAACACACAGGTCTGAGACATCAGGCAAGTTTCTGAAGGAAATGCCCAATAGGTGTGAATCATTACTATGAGTTTTATGTTCTTCTTGGGGGGCCCTGGGCACTGAACCCAGAGCCTTCTTACTGAGCTATGTTCCTTTTTTTTTTTTTTTCAGTTTTTGATTTTGAGACAGGATCTTGCTAACTTGCCAAGGCTGGGCTTAAACTTGTGATGATCCTCTTGCCTTAGCTACCTGAGTGGCTAGGATTTTAGGGGTGTGCCTCTACTCCTGGCTGTTACTCTGCTTTATCTTCACATCTGAGTAGTTCTCAGCTACTGTCTGGAGGTTTTGGACCTCACGGAAAGTTCAATTAATGAATTCCCCTGAAGGCTCATTGAGAATGAGTTACCTGAATTGGCCAGAGGATAATATTCATGTCCCCATGGACGCCCTGCAGTGAGTACATGGAGCCACTGCCACCGGTGGTGATGGAAAGCACAGCCTTCTTGTTCTGGGGAAGAAAACACAAGCTTCATCACCCCCCACTGCCTGGCCACAGCACATTAACGAACCAGCCCCAGGGAAAGGGACACACAGGTCCACTTTATTTGTTGTTTACCTTACCTCATACCTTGGCTCCTCTGAGCCAGACAGCATGACTCTGCAGAGGTAGAAGTCCTAGCCTAGATGTCCACAGGCAGCAAGCCAGGGGCAGGCCAGGGACCCCACATGCCCATGTGGCCAACAGGTCAGGGCTGTCACTGTCACCGGAACCAGCAGTGGCTGCTGGCTACTTCTGTGAAATGACTTCTTTTTGTTGTTTTTGGGTTGGGCTTGGCTTGGTTTGGTTTGGTTTTTTTGAGACATGGTCTCACTATGTAGTTCATACTGGTCTTGAACTCACCATGTAGTCCTGGCTGACCTCAGACTTGAGGCAATGCTCCTGCCTCTGCCTCCTGAGTGCTGGGATTACAGTCACGCACCACCACGCCTGGCCTACACTTCGTTTTCCCCTATTTCCCCACAGTACTAGGCAGGCAGTAGTGTCTAGTTGTACTCAGAATCCTGCCTCTGGACAGAATCTACCTAGAACCTGGCTGTTAGGAAACTCAGAACCATTCACCTACCTGGAAAGGGCCCTTGTCATACATGGCAGCATAGGTGTAGGCAAACCCTCCTGTGAGCACTCGATCAAACCAGCCTTTCAGAATGGCAGGGACTCCAAACCACTGCAGTGGGAACTGCGGGGCAGAAAACATCCGAGACTCAGATCAAGGACAGCTCCCCGCTTCCCCTAAGAACAGAAGGTGGCCTGCGGGGCTTGGCGGTGCCCACGATGTCACCGTTGAAGGAACCAGGGAGGTTTTTGTCATTCCCTCAGAGGAGTTAGCACATTTAAGAAAATGAAGGGCTGAAGGTATAGCTCAGTGGTAGAGAACTTGCTTAGTCTGATGAGGCCCTGAGTTGGATCCCCAACACCCCCAAAAAAAGAGGAGGGCAAAGGGAGGAGGAGGAAGAAGAAGGAAAGAGAAAAGTAGCTGTGTACGGTACTACATACCTGTAGTCCAGGTTCCCAGGAGGCTGAGGTGGGTGCGAGTTTAACGCGTTCATGACATGGCTATAATTCGTGTGTCTGGCTGCCAGGCGGCCTGAACCACAGGTCGTATGTACATGCATGGGTGTCGCATCGGGCAGCATGGGACAGTCCCATTAGGTGCTACAAGCACCCTACAGAACAGTCGTATGCATACCATTGGTGGTCAGGTCGGCAGGGATGCATTAAATCCAGTCTGGGGAACTTTTTTTCTTTGAGGCTCGATCTAACCCTAACCGTAACCCTGAACTCTGTATTAGCCTCGGGCGGCCTTGAACTTGTGGCAATCTGCTGTCTCAGCCTCCTGATTACAGGCATGGGCAGGTGTCTGCCAGCACGTCCCGGCCCAGTCTGCGGAACTTAGCGAGACCTATTCTCAAATTTTTAAAAGGCTGGGGATGTAGCTTAGTTTGAAGGCCCTGGTTCAATCCCCAGTATCACTAAAAAAAAAAAAAAAAAAAAAAAAAAAGAACGAAATACATATGACACCGTCCAACTCACAGAATAACAAGAAAAGGAAAAAGAAAATTATTTTCCTTGTCCAGCCAACCTGGCACTGCAGTCTCTGCCTAAAAATACAAATATTGGCTGGGTCTGAATAAAGTCACATGAAATAAGATTTGTTTCCCTGAAATCACACGGCAGCAAAGTCTTAATAGTAAAGATTACAGATAAGCTGGCTTCAGTAAGTGATGCCCATGTATTTTCCCAAAAGCTTAATACTTATAGTACCAAATATATGACTGTCATCTGTGTACATGGGTATAAAACCCTGTCATTAGGGGCTGGGGATTTAGCTCAGCGGCACAGCACCTGCCTGGCAGGTGTGAGGTTGTGAGTTCGATTCCCGGTACCAGAAAAACAAACAAACAAAAACCAAAACCATATCATTTAGGAAAAAAAAAAAAAAAAAAAACACTCAAAAATTGTGTGTGTGTGTGACTATGGTTTATCAGGGAATTCCCATGGCAAAGGCCTAGCTGGATGTGATGATTTGATGCTACACCCCAGCTAAGGGAGAAGCTGAGAAAGAACTGCAAATTTGGGGCTAGCCTAGGCAATTTAGCAAGACGCTGTCAAAAAGAAAAAAGAAAATAGCTGAGGATGTCGCTCAGAATTCCCTAGGTTCAATCCCCAGTACTACAAACGGGCGGGGGAGGGGATTCATAGAAAGCTAGTTGTAATAGCCTCTCCCACATTTAAAGGGTTATTGATCTACAGAAAAGGAGCTGTAGAGGTCGTTGTATAACAGAAGACACATAGGGTTGACCGCAAGGCTTGTAGCTGCGCCCTGAATCTGCCTCTTGGACACATGACCTTGGTTACACAAGCCCCACCGTGTCTGTTTCATTCACCTCATCTGTAACAAGATGGCTTGGCTGGTCTCGAATAGCCTCTCACAGCTCAGATCTCTGACACTCCGAGGGCAAGGGGGCAGATGGGCATCCACGCATGGGTTTGGTTGGCAAGGAGATTTGGTCCCTTGTGAGTGTTCTACAGTCAGAGCTGAAAACAGAACTGGTTGGCTCGGAAGTATTAGAAGTTTACTGGTGCTGGGGGTGTAGCTCAGAGGTAGAGCACATATTGGCACCACCAAAAAGTTTGCTGTCTCTCAAGTTGAGCAGAAAGCCAGCCCTGACAGTCCCTTGGTATGAACTGACGCACTCCTTTCTGGGACACTTTATGTGTCGAAAGACTGCCATAGCTCATTGATTTTGCTAGAACAAGGCTTTTTTTGTGATTTGTCAGAAAACTGTTAAACATACAAATCTGCAATCCTCATGGCCAGCCTCAGTGCAGATCCAGCAGGCATTCTGTGTAGCTCTGTGGTAGAACACTTGCCTAGCATGTGTGAGGCCCTGGGTTCAAATGCTAGCACTAGAAAAACAAAAAGAAACACAGAAGACATCTGTGGGTCACTGGCTAATGTCACGTGGCATTGGTTTATAGCCACAGGCCTGAGGGTAGGAGAAAGGACTTTTAAGGACTGGACGCTTTGCAACTGACAGAACAGTGCAAAAACTACAGCCTGTATCACCTTCCTTTGAAGTGTCCAGAGCCGTATATGCCCCAAGTTCAATATCAGTGACCTGGGGGCTGGGTATGTAGCTCAGTGGCAGGCCTGTGGCTTGAATGCATGAGGCCCTGGGTTCCATCCCCACTACTTACAGGGCAAAAGCCTGGTGGGAGCTGGTAGCAGCAAGGTCAGTGGGAGCAGCCTGGCACTTATAGGGAAGGTAACTGTCAAGATGCACGCACAGTCCCAATATCCACTGCTGCATGGCGAGCCAGCTTAGAAGAAAGCCACAGGTGGTGCTGCGGCACACTGCGCGGGGCCAGCCCCTTGGCCGGGACACTGCCAGGAGAGCGCACGTCTCACACATCTCTACTAACTAGAGCTGTCAGGGAGAGCAGGCAAAGTGCAGGCCTGAGAGTCCAGGGGAAATCATGACATGAAGGGAACGTTAGGGACAATTAGGAGAAAAAAAGCTGAAAGCTTCTAAGTCATCTTTGCAGTCACATGCCTGTATGCAAAGAGTAATCAGCCAGATTGACAAAACCCATGAGTCTGTGCAGTGCTATGCCTTTGATTTCTTTGGGCTTTTGTTTTGTTGGAGACAGGGTCTCACCATGTAGTTCAGGCTGGCCTCAAACTCCCAGCAGTCCTCCTGCCTCAGCCTCCCAAGTACTGGGATTATAGGCGTGCGCTCCCATGCCCAGCTAATGCTGCAGCTTTGAAGCTGTCACTCATATTTACAGAGAATGCAGCAGAGTGGTCACTCCTAAGCTCCCACAGCAAATTGGGTGACTAATTGAGAACTCAGGGGGCTGGGGATATAACTCAGTGGCATAAGCGCCTGCCTGGCAAGCACAAGGTCGTGAGTTCGATTCCTGGTACCACACACACACACACACACACACACACACACACACACACGCACAAAAACCTCAGGTGTGCTAGCCACCTCCTCTGATGTTCTGTCCCTGCCGTACCTGAAATATCACAAGGTCTGCAGCTTCCACCTTCTTTTGCTCAGCCACAATATCTGGGCTCAGGCGGCTTTCTTCATAAGCTAGAGCGGTCTCGGCAGCATACTGAAAGTTCTCAGGGTCCTTCAGCGTACCTGGCAAGAGCAACGGGAGAGGCTGGAGCCAGAGAGACGGAGGCTGAGCCGCAGAGCCCACAGGCCAGTGATTCCACAAAGGGAGAGGGCGTGCCTACCTGTGATGTCCTTCCTGGAAATGAGGGGATTGAAGTTCATGGCGTAGAGGTCGGACTCGGCCACCTCCCATCCTTTCCTCTTCAGAGCCTCTACAGCAGCCTCCTTCATGGCGTAGTTGAAGGACGTCCTCTCTGAGTGAGCCAGTATGATGAGTGCTTTCCTGATGGCTTAGACACACGAGAGGCGTATGGAGGAGCCCAGCGCAGCCTGTGCCCCTTACCCTAAGGAACCTTTAGGTGTGTTCAGATTGCAGAGTTTTTTTAGATTTTTTCAGACAGGGTCTCACTATGCAGTTCAGACTGACCTTGAACTCACTAAGTAGCCCAGGCTGGCCTCGAACTTCCAGCGATCCTCCTGCCTCAGCCTCCCGAGTGCTGGGATTATACGCATGCGCCACCATGCCTGACTCCCTTAAATTGTGAGACAGAGGCTTGCTAAATTGCCAGGCTACTCAGCCTGGGTTTGAATTTTCAATCCTCCGGCCTCAACTTCCCAGACAGCTGAGATTACAGGGATATACCACCAGCCCTGCCCGGCCCACCCTTTCATACCTCCCAAAGGGGATTCAATCTCAACATGAGAGTCGGTGAGGACAGAAGCCACAGCACCATCCCCCAGCCAGAGGGAAAGCGCCAGTGCATGGGGCTGCGGCGCAGCCGGAAGCCCTGGGAGTGACCTCCCACATGGGGAAGAAAAGGAAGAGAAAAGAAGTACTAATGAATTAAAAGAGGCATTTAATAAACAATTGAATGAATGATGCCGGCATAATAAATAGCCAGCGCTATGAAGATAAAATGGTCCCCTTAGAAAACTAATGTAGGTATTAAGTCAATATAGTGCCTAGTCTGGCCCTGGGGAAGTGACTAAAAGGACACAAAAGCAATTTTTGTGGGTAGGTGCTGGGAGTACTTTGTGGTTTTGTTTTGTTTTGAAGACAGGCTCTTTCGCTCTGCAGCCCAGGCTGGCCTTGAACTCGTGTCCATCCTGCCTCAGCCTCCCAAGTGCTAGGATTACAGGCGTGGGCCACTACATCCGCTCTGAGAATCATTTTTAAAGAAAGACTAAAATATAAAAATTAATTAATTAATTAAAATAAAATAAAGAAGAACTAGAATAAAGCATAGTGGAAAAGCCTGACAGAGAAAGCTGCATTTAAAAAAAAAAAAAAAAAAAAAAAAAATGGCTGGCAGAAGATACCATAAGCAGAATCAAAAGACAATCGGCTGGAACCAGAAATCTGCAACTCTTACCAGAAAGAATTAAAATCTCAAAAAATGCCTACAAATGATTAGAAGACAAAGGATACTAGCGAACACTCGATAAAGGATATGGTCAGCCCATTCCCAGAGGGAGAAATACTAGCAGCAATAAACAAAAAGATTCTCCAGCTGGCTGGCCTGCCAGGAAAAGCAGGTCAAAATTTACCCATTGTTTATGCATAAGATTGCAAAAAAATAAGACAAATAACATTGAAAGCTATATAGATAATAGGAAAACTGGCCTTTAACAGGTGGAAAGATGAATTGCCTCCAGTTTTGGGAAAACAGGTTATATCTTTTAAATTTTTAGACATGAATCTTTGACCTAGATCACCAACTTTGGGGGCTGTGTTCTACGGACTAAATATATCAGGATATATAGGAGCAAGGAAGTTATGGCACTGTTCGTTTCATTGCAAAAATTAGATACAATTTGGTTGTCTACTTAGGAGGAATATGTGGATAAACTGTAGCCCTATCCCTAGGACAGGATTTGTGGGGGAGGGTTCTGTTTGCTCTTTGAAACAAAGTCTTGTTATGTAGCCCAGGGTGGCAGTGAACGCTATCCCTCTGCTGCAGGCTGCCAAGAGCTGGACCTGCAGCCATGCACCACCTGGTTTGCTGTGCCTGTGATGGCACAAGCCTGTAGTCCTAGCATTCAGGAGGCTGAGGCAGGAGGACTGCTGTGAGTTTGAGGACATCTTGGGCTCCATAGTGAGTTCAAGGCCAGCCTTGAAGGACCGGGGCTATAGCCCCGTGGCACAGTACTTGCCTAGCATGCCTGAAGCCTTGGGTTTGATCCCCAGCATCAGAAAAAAGGAAGGAAGGAAGGAAGATACCCATGCTGTATTGTTAAATGAAAAGCAAATGAATGTGAATCTATTTTCATTTGAGAGAAGGAAGGAAAATTACGTATCTGTAGATTTATACAGATTGGTACGAGGGGAAAAAGTAAGGAATGATCACAGTAAACTATTAATTTTTTGAACTAGAGATGGCAAAGAGCTGGGCATGGTAGCACACATCTGTAATCCCAGCACTCGGGAGGCTGAGGCAGGAGGATCACTGCGAGTTCAGGACCAACCTGGGCTACAAAGTGAGCCCAAAGCCAGCCTGAACTGCACAGTGAGACCCTGTCTCAAAAGACAAAAAAAAAAAAAAAAAAAAAAAAATTGGTTAATTAATTAAAAAATGGCAAAGAGGTAGAGGCAGGGAGAAAGACTGATTTTTTTTCTTGGACTTCCTCTTCTGTAGAAATAAAGTTATTAGAATAAAAGTGCTTCAAATTTTTTTTTTATTTTTTTGGTCTTTTTGATACAGGGTTTTGCTATGCAATTCAGGCTGGCCTTAAACCCACTTTGTAGCCCGGGCTGGCCCCGAACTCACAGTGATCCTCCTGCCTCAGCCTCCTGAGTGCTGGGATCACAGGCATGCACTAGCCTTCACTTTTGCAATAGCAGCATTTAATGGGTGCTTGTTATGTGCGAGCCACTGCTGCAACGCACCTGCCCTCGTTAGAATGACACCAAGTGTCATTCAATGTGATAGTGTAAGAGATGGGTCCCGTAGGAGGTGACTGGGCCACGGGGGCTCGGTACCAGTTAATGGGACCAAGGGCTTTATAAAAGGAAGCCCATGCAGCTGCTCAGCCGGCTCCCTCCGCTGCCCCAGGTGAGGACACCGCGCCGCCTGCTTCCCTTGGAGGGTGCGGCTCAGGAGCCCCTCCAGCCTGAAGACGCCTGAGCTGGGACTTGCAGCCTCCAGAACTGTGAGGAAAAATTCTGTACCTGACCGCTGGCCGGTCACAAGTATTGTTACAGCGGCAGCAAACCCAGTTAGAGCGCTGCGCTATGGGGGATACAAGGCCCAGAGAAACTAAGCAGGCACCCAGGTTTACGGGTGAAGCGGTAAAGCTGGGAAAACTTGAAAATATCCAGACCGAGGAAAACACAAGTATTTGTGTGCGGGGCGAGCAGGGGAAGAGCAGGAAAAGGAGGCTGTCCACGCCTGCGCTGAGAATCTGTGCCGGGGCCTCCGGTCCGCACGGAGATGGTGCTGACCAGGGGCGGGGCCGGCAGACCCAGCGCCTGCGGGGTTCTGTTCGGTGTGAGTGACTGCGGCTCCCTGGGAAGCCGCGGGAGCCGGGAGCCGTGGGGCCGGGAAGGCTGAACGCGCGGCTCTGCGCTGGACTTTGGACTCTTTTTAAAGTAAGAGTGGAATAGGAGCTCCATGGTGATTTGAATGCTGTGGAAGTGGTTCACCCGCTTTGAGCGGCCCGGGGAAAGGGAGTCAGCAAGTTCTCACCCCTTTTCTTTTTAACGCACGGATTTAACGCTACTTTTTTTGCATACTTCCCTGCGGGATATATGGGCATCACCCTTGTGAGATTTCCCATTAACTCTTTTTTGTTTTGTCTTTGAGACAATCTCATTATGCAGTTCAGGCTGGCCTTGAGCTCACTTTGTATCCCAGGCTGGCCTCGAACTCACAACGATCCTCCTGCCTCAGCCTCCCGAGTTGCTGGGATTACAGGCGTGCACCACCACGCCCGGCACCATTAACTCTTTAGGGAGGCTATCCTCTCCCACCCCTTAAGACTAAACTAAGACCACTAAGATTAAGAAGCACTGCAGGGCGGGATCATTCTTAGCACGGGATCATCTCCCGCTTGAGTCACCCCAGGATTACCCCTTGCCGGGTGAGTCATCGACCTGAGTCTTGTGCAGACCTAGGATCTCCCGCTCGCCCCTCCTACCATTGTACACAGCCAGTAAGCGGGCTGGCTTGGAGTGTCTGTCTCCGCCGGTCCTGAGGCACTGGCCCCCCAGCTCCCTCCCCGCACTACTGAATTTGCCTGTTTACTTCACCCTTCCCCCGCACCCCTCATACAGGCAGAAGGCACCTTGGCCAGGTCCCCGATATGGGAGGAGCAGGGGCCTCTGAAACTCTGATCGACATTTTCTTCGTGACTTACCTTTACGTTATCAGCACTTACTAAACACTGCTTTGTCAATTTTTCTTCCACTGCCCATGGGTATTAAGCATTTCCCGAGCGAGAAAACAATAAAGGCACTTCGCAGAAAATAATCGAGTCAGGATATCCACCTCTGCTCGAAGAGCTCACCTTCCAAAATTTTAAAAAAGGAGCAGGCTAGAGCACGCCTATAATCCCAGCTACCCGGGAGGCCGAGGCAGGAGAATTGAGACTTTGAGAACAGCTGGGGCAACTAGCGATCGTGTGTCAAATAAAATAATAAAAAGGCCTGGGGATGTAGCTAAGTGGTAGTGTTTCTGGGTTTGATCCCTAGTATTGTTTTTTAAAAAACATGCATTTTTAATGAACGGAACATTGAAGAGTAGATCAGGAGACTTACTGCCCAAAGGCAATACTCCTGCGTTACGAGTTCCTATGCCTCTTTTTTAATGTCACTGGAGGGAGCTTTATTAGAACTCACGGGGCAGCGTGGGTGTGGGGAAGAGCGGGCCCACCGACCGCGGGCCGTGTGCGGGCCTCCGCTTCCATCAGAAGAGCCGCACAAGCCCACGGCCACGCGGGGGCGGAGAGACGCCGAGGCGCCGGCCGGGAGGAGCCGAGGCGGGGAGGGGAGCGGGCGCGGCGTGCAGGAAGGACAGGCCGGGCCTCTGCGGCCTCCCCTCCGGTCCCAGCCCGGGCCGTCCAGGGGCGGCCTTGTGAGGCCGCGCCCGGTACAGCGGCTGCTGCCCAACCTAGAAGCCCGGGGGCAAGGGCCAAGCCAGGCACGGTGCCAGCGCCCAACGTCGCGTGTCCCTTGACCCCTTGACGTCCTGGGGGCCGAAGCTCTAGGGATCTCCTGGCTCGCCCGAGGCGCCCTCTCTCCCTTCCACACCTTTTATTAATGGCCCAAACTGTGTTTTCTGGACTTGAAGGTTCATTTCCCTTTCCTGCCACTTAAATGGCCAGCGACAGCTGGGACGTTACTTTCTTAGACTCTGATGGGAAAGGGAAACTGTTGCTTCGGGGCTAGTCTGTTAGGAAGGCCTTCCCCAGCCCAGAGATCTGCTCCGAGTTTGGAAAGACAGGCTTGTCCTCAGGGTCTGGGCCTCACACCCGTTTCTGCTTGACATGGAGGGCATCAGACAGAAGTCTCAACTAAAGCGAGTGTACCTAACACAGCTCGCACATCTGGTTTCGTCGTAGTTTGGGGCTGGGGGTTGAACCCAGGGCTCAACCACTGACTTATACTGTCATGTCCTATCACATCTTTTTTTGTTTTGTTTTTTGAGACCAGTTCTTGCTGTGTAGCCCAGGCTAGCCATGAACTTGTGGCAGTCCTCCTGCCTCAGCCTCCTGAGTGCTGGGACGACAGGTGTGGGCCACGTCGCCCAGCTTCCATCTTTGTTAATGCATCTGTGTCTGTGCTGTCAAATCACAGGCCCAAATTAAGCAGGGGCTTCATTAAAATATGTTCTTGGTTCACCGTGACTTCTTCATGAACTTGAAAGCCCTTCTTCCTTCTCTACCACCTACCCCTTTTTTGTTTTGCAATACCGAGATTTGAATCCAGAGCCTCACTCATCCAAGTGCTCTACCACTAAGCTACATCCCCAGCCCTTTATTTTTTATTTTGAGGATCTTGGTAAGTTGCCCAGGCTGGTTTTGGACTTGTGATCTTCCCGCCTCAGCTTCCCTAATAGCTGAGGTCACAGGTGTGCAGCACCCTGCCGGGCGCCGTTGTCTGCATGTCTACTCCACGCCCCCACCGGCCAACCCCGCCGACGTCCATGTTCTCACAAATGAACCCTCTCAGCCTCCGCAGTTCTTTACTGGGCGCCTTCTACTCACCACGCATTGTCCTGAGCACTTGGGTTCATCGCTGTTGCAAAGCGATGCCAGTCTTCGTCTCGAAGGAGCCTACACCCCTGGCGGCCAGAAGTCTCCGGGCCGTCCCCTGGGGGCTGACCTCTGTGCTCACCTACTGCCCCAGCACCCCCGCTCCTCTCTGCCTTCAGACCCTCCAGCCTATCGGAAACCTACAGTTTCTTCTCGCCTTCCAGGTTAAACTGTGTTCTGCCAAGCTGCAGGGGATCATGGGTGCCCGACAGGGGAAGCTTAATAACAAAGTGGCCAAGAAAGGGGTGGTGGCACACCGCTTTGTGGAGAAAGTCACTGACAATTTTTTTTTTTTTTGAGACAGGGTGTCGCTATGTAGGTCAGGCTGGCCTTGAGCTCACTTTGTAGCCCAGGCTGGCCTCGAACGCACAAGATCCTCCTGTCTCAGCCTCCTGAGTGCTGGGATGACAGGCATCCACCACACGCTTGGCAACAATATTTATTCCTTGAAAAAAAAAAGGATTTATCATTAACATGATCTTTTTGTCAGGAAAAACAAGCAATCAAAGAAAAACTACTAGAAATAAAGGACAAGCCCTGAGATCAGTTCCACATGTTCTCCCTCTGCTCCCTCCATCCTCTAAATCCCAAGGGGAGTGTGCCTTCGAGTCAGCTGCATCTCTTAGCTGCAAACAAGTACCCCGGATGCTTCAGTGAACCTGAAGAATTAGTTAGTTTTGTACAGCTAAACCTGGTTATCCAAGATCCAGATCTTCCCATCGTCCCTCAGTACCACCCACATCTTCATGTCTGTTAGACATAAATACAAGCTGAGGGTGTAACGGTGTAAGCCTGTAATACCAGCACTCTGGGAGGATGAAGCAGGAGGATCGAAAGTTTAAACCCAGCTTGGGCAACTCTGCGACTTGGGCAAGACCCTGCTTCAAAAAAAAAAAAAGAAAAGAAAAGAAAAGGTGGGAATATAGCTGAGTGTAAAGCCCCTAAGTCAATCCTCAGTATGAAGGTGAGGGGGAAAAAACCCCTAAGTATAGAATAGACTCTAGGATTAGAAAACAGTTCCTGCCCTAACAGGAGGCAGGGGAACAAAGGCCTTGGGGCAGCTGAAGAATGAAACACACTAGCTCCTCCTTAATTTCAGTTACAGTCACCCGAGATCTAAACATGTTAAGTGGACAACTGCAGAAATAAACGGTTCATTTTTTTTTTTTTTTGAGACAGAGTTTCACTATGGTGCAGGCTGGCCTTGAGCTCACTTTTGTAGCCCAGGCTGGTCTCCAACTCACAGTGATCCTCCTCCCTCAGCCTCGCGAGTGCTGGGACTACAGGTGTGCGCCACCACGCCTGGCTTGAGTCATTAATTTTAAGTAACTTTTATTATGGTAGAGTGTTATACTTGTCTTATCATTACTTACTGTTGTTAATCTCTTACTGGGCCTAACTTAGAAGTTAAGCAGGCATGTCGGTGCAGGAAAGGTCAGTGTACACAGGGTTCTATGCCGTACAGTTTCAGGGACCCACTAGCGGGCTTGGAAATTAAGCCGTGGGTAAGGGGCTGCAGAGAGAAACAGCAGCTAGGAAAGCGCCCGCAGGAGGCCTCGCCAGCTGGCGAAAGCCCTTCCCTGGGTCTCGCCCAGCATCTCACCCTCGGGTTTCCAGCCAACAGCTCTGACAACTACAGATCTGCATGTCAAACGCAAAGGCAATCTCTCTCCTCACCTTTTAGCAAGATGAGATTCTAGACCATGTCTGTGCCTTGTGTGTTTTCAGAGGGGACACAGGTTAGAGGGAAAGGAGACCCGGACAGGTGGGTCCCGCCCCGTTGAGCAATGGTTTCTAAGTCCTAGCGCTGGCCAGTCTCAGAGCAAGGCCCCCTGGAAAAGCTCTCAGCCCCTCGCAGTGCTGGCTGGTAGCGGGTGCGTCAGGGGGCGAGCAGGCATCAGAACAGTGGGGACCTTTAGGGCCACTGATGCCACTGATATGGACCAATACCAGAAGGGGTTCGCCAAACTTAGGGGTCACAAATGTCTCCGGGGCCCGGCTGCTTGGAGCTGGGCCTCCTCTCTCTCCAACCAGACAGCTGGTTCCCCCACTCCAGCCCTACAATGGTCAGATCTTCCCATTTTCCTCCAGAGGCTGCAAATGCACACCTTTTAAGTGAAACCATCTATTTGGATTTTAGGTGTTAGCAGCCTGCTCTAAAATGTTTTAAATAGTACAAGGCCAAAGAAGCTACGGACAGTGGGTCACATTTGGTCCTTGATGGTCAGTTTTCAACCTGGCTTGGCGGGGATTTTTGCTTCCCTGGGTATTTCCCTAAAGGCCACCAGAGTTTGTAAGGGCGGTTAAGGGGGCATCCACCACTCTGGGGTAGACACAGAAGTTCTTCTCCGGGGACTGGTGAAGGATCATCCCGGAAGGCCGGGTGTGCTGACGCACAGCACACCTGTAATCCCAGCACTCGGGAGGCAGAGGCAGGAGGATCGTTGTGACTTCCAGACCATCCTGGCCTACAAGGTGAGCTCAAGGCCAGCATGAACTGCATACCGAGACCTTGTCTCAAAGACAAAAAAAAAAAAAAAAAAAAAAGGATCATCCCGGAACCCGACAATCTTCAGCTTTTCAGTTTTGGACCAAGAAACAAAGGCTATGCGGTCTCCTCCAGACCAACGAAGCTGGAGCTCGGGACTTACCCGCCATGGCTTCCACAGAGCGCCGCCGCAGAGTCCTGCCTCCCGAACGCTGATTGGCTGGGCCTCTGGTTGCCGGGGCGACCTAGCCTGGGCTGGAAAGCAGCCGGATGCTTGAGCTGCGATTCCAAGGCGTCCAGGGAGCGGCGGGCAGAGCTCCGCGCTTTATATCCCGCCGGCCGGCCCGGCCCACTGCCTCCCGAGGTGCCCGGAGAGTGGGTGGGTGGGGCGAGGCGCGCACCCTGGGCACCGGGCGGCGGGCTCCAAAGCGGAGTAACCGGAAAGGGACGTGGGCACGCAGTAGACACCCCTGGTGTCCAAGTCCAGAAGGTCCTTTGGGGGTTGAAGAGTGAGCGAGGCCTCAAAGACTTGGGGTGGGCGGCAGGCCGGTCTGCTCTGTCCCGGACCCCTGGGGACCCAAGGGGGACGTTTCAGCTGGAGTTCGGCCTGGCCTCTCCCCGCGGGAAATCGCCTTATCAGGGAATGGGCCCCATAAAGAGCGGGGTGTGGCCGAGCTGGGGTCAAATTCTGCCGAGTCACGGTGACTCCGGCAGGAGGACCGCTCCGCGGCCATGACTGACGGTCTCCTTTGCCAGGCTCACATTCAGCGCTTGGGAGGCCCACAGAAGGCTCTGCCCCGCGTGAATGCCCCGGGTCGCGCCTGCTTCCCAGCGACAGCCAGTGGGGAACTCACGGGTTTGCGGGCCAGAGCCAGGGCAGGAGCTCCGCAGGCCAAGGCCGGTGGGGAGTAGCAGCCAGGGTGAGTACGACGTAGTCAAGACAGGAAATCTTGGTGCTTTTCCCTTTAAGCTTGAAAGTATGAGACAGAACAGAGAAGAGTTCAAATCTGTGTAAGTAAAAGTCACAGTAAAATTATCCGATGGAACAGCGAAGAGATACTGTCAAAAGGCCAAGAATTTTTAAGTGATAGATAACCAAGAGAGTAACAGAAGCCAGGCGTTGTGCACGCCTGTAATCCCAGCACTTGGGAGGCTGAGGCAGGAGGATCATTTCGAGTTGGAGACCAGCCTCGGCTACAAAGTGAGCTCAAGGCCAGCCTGAACTGCATAGGGAGACCCTGTCTCAAAAAGACAAAGAAACCCCAAACAAAAAGGAAAAAAAAAACAGAGGAGGACAAAAGGTGGGGAGTGCATAGGGCTCTTACATTTTACTTGTGAAATAGCTAAGGAGATCTAGGAAAACTCAGCCATCAAAATAGTACAGTTTTTGGGTGGGGGTGGTATAGGGAAATTGAACCCTACCACTGAGGGCCCCTACCACTGAGCTACATCTCCAGCATTCACTTATTTATTCAGATAGTTTGTATGTAGTCTAGATAGTTTCTGTGTAGCTTAGGCTGGCCTTGAACTCACTGTGCGCTAGAACCCAGCGATGCTCCTGTCTCAGCCCCCTCCCGATACATAGGCGTAGAGCACCATATCTGGCGTATCTTTTTGTCTTTTTTTTTTTTTTTGGTTTTTCTCCGGTACTGGGAACCGAACTCACGACCTTGCACTTGCCAGGCAGGCGCTTTGCCGCTGAGCTAAATCCCCAACCCCTATCTGGCGTATCTTGATAAATTTCCCAGGCTGGTCTTGAATTTGCAGTCCTGCCACAGCCTCCCAATTACTTTTTTTGAGGCAGGATCTCGCTATATAGTTCAAGCTGGCCTTGAACTCACTATGCTTGAATTTGTGGCGCTCCTCCTGACTCAGCCTCCCAAGTACTGGGATTACAGGCTGTACCACTATGCTCCACTAGTAGCTGGGATTATTAAATCACACCCAGAATCAGAATTTTATTTCCCTCCCCTTGCCTCCCTCTTTTCTTTTTTCTTTTCTGAGACAGGCTGTCCTATGTAGTATGTGCTGGCCTTGAATTATGTAGCCCAGGTTGGCCCCGATCCTCCTGGCTCAGCCTCCCAAGTGCTGGGATTACAGGAGTGCTGTACCACATCTGGCTGGGGTCAGAATTCTTGAGTCTACCTCCAGTCAGATGCTAACAATGTTTCTTTCTTTGAGCTCTGCTTGCCTCCCCTATAAAGATGTGGCTTGGTCCTGCTTGTCCTCAAGAGTCCTTCCTACTAAACTCCCGGGCAGTGCGAGCCAGTGCAATGCCCAGGCCCTTTTCTGAAGCGGGGCGGGTGTGCACACAGACCAAAAACAGTGACACCTGCCCCCCTTGCCCACAGGGGCCAGGGCAGGACGAGGGGCCGGGAAGTTCTGCTGCCTTCATTAGCTAGCATAAAGAGCAGGACCGGGCGAACCCTCAGGAGTCCCTCGGTGTCCTCCTGATGGAAGAATACAAACAGCCTCATTAGTCGCCCGCTAATACACGGTGTCCGTGTGTGCAGCTGCTCTTCTGCACAAGAAAGTCCCCAATGTCCCCTTGCTTTTCTCCGAGCTGCAGGAGACGGACTGTTCCCTTAGCTCAGAGCCACTCTCGGGCGTCTGGGGAGCTCGGGAGCTGCTGTTCTCAGAGGCTCCTGTGGATACAGCCGAGGGTCCCTGGAGGGCGCGGCCCTTGGCGTTGGGCAGGAAAGTTTCTACAAACCTGGCGTGCGCTGCCCTCCCGTCCCCTCATCTGTCCCACAGGACGAGCCCTGGCTTGCAGGGCTTCCTGTGGCTTCCTGTGGCCGGCTGTGTCCCGCCGCAACGCTGTCCGTCCTCTTCTGTCCCCTGAATTTGGTCGGCTCCTGCTGGGCTTAGAACATTGTGCTTCAGCTGCAATTTCTCCTGCAAAGGAGTCGCTTGCGGCGGAGGGATTCCCCCGTGCGGCCCTGCCGTTCCTGGTCAGCCCTCTCCATTTCTTTCTTGGGAACACATTCGCAGATGGGCTCGTTTGTTATTTCTAAGACAAGGAAAAGTTAGCAACAGGCATTTCCTGCCTCTTCATTATTTTCTCCTTGCCGGTCTGCATATGCATTCAGTTCCGAAAACATGTGCAGCCACGCCAGCTCCAGCAGACTTCCCCAGGGCTTTGTGAAGGGGGCCACGCCCGGCCCCCCGCACACCGGAGCAGAAGCGCCGTTTAGTAAGTGCGCGCCCTCCTTCCTTTTCATCGAGGGCCCAGAATTAGTCTCATGACTGCCTTGCTTCTGTCTCCATAGGAGAATCTGCCTCCACTATAGGCCTGCTGGTACGGGTCTGTAATCCCAGCACTGGGAGGCTGAGGCAGGAGGATCACAAGTTATCCTGGCCTTTAGTGACTTTGTGAGACCCCGTATCAAAATAAGTAAAAAAGGGCTAAGGATAGAACTCCGTGCGAAGACCCCAGGTTCAATGCCCAACAGTGAGAAAAAAAATGATCTCCAACTACACAAACACTGAAACAGTATGGTCTAGACGTGTTCAGAATCTTCAGTCTAAGCCGGGTGTGGTGGCGCACGCCTGTAATCCCAGCACTTGGGAGGCTGAGGCAGGAGGATCAAGACCAGCCTGGGCTACAAAATGAGCTCAAGACCAACCTGAACTCCATAGTGAGACGCTGTCTCAAAAAGACAAAAAAAAAAAAAAAAAAAAAATTTAGAAAGAGTCTTGTCTAGATTCCTTCCCGTGCACATACTGGGTAATCATATCTCATGATTTGGGAGCTATTGTTATAGTAGCCAGTTTATTTTTCTCAGGGCTGGGGACTGAACTCGAGCAGAATCACGCACATAGGCGAGGGCTCAATCACTGAGCTACACCCAAAGTCTTCCACCTTTTTTTGAGACAGGGTCTTGCTGTGTTGTCCAGGCTGACCTCAAACTTAGGATCCTCCTGCCTCAGCCTCTTAGTGCTGGGATTACAGGCATGTGCCACTATGCCTGCATATAATTACTCTGAAAATCAAGTTAAATATAGAACCTGATCAGAGTTTGTTTTTCTGTTGTCCCTTAGATTTTGAAGGCATTAAATCTAATTTCCTCTCCCTATAACATGGGCAGGAATTTGTAATTGCCTCCGCCCACAAAATGTAGAAGTAAAGCTGCTTCACTTTCAACTCTGGGTCATATAAAATGATAGGTTCTGACTGGCTGTGGTGGTGCTCACCTGTAATCTCAGTACTCAGGAGGCTGAGGCAGGAGGATGTAGAGAGTTCAGGGAGGGAGACTGTCTCAAAAAGGGGGAGGCATTAGAGAGTTGTAAGCAGAGGTCACTCAGAGTGACAGATTTCCTCTGTCCCTGTGCTTACGCCACTCCATACTGGGGGTCAAGTCCAGGACCACACCCTAACAAGCCATTTACTGTTTAAAAGGTACTCAACCAGATTTTGTGAGAACCAGAAAGTAAAAAAGACACTCTGCTGAGAACTAAGACATACAGAAGGCCCACCCTGTTTATAAAAAGTAATTATCAGGCCATGCATGGTAGCACATGCCTATAATCCCAGCACATGGACCGCTGAGGCAGGAGAATCACCAGGAGTCTGAGGCCAGCCTGAACCGCATAGTGAGACCCTGTCTAAAAAAAAAAAAAAAAAAAAAAAAAGTAACCATCCAATGGGGAAGGGCTGCATTTTAAAACCTGGGATGCATTTTGCCTAATGTCTTGGTTACTTTTCTCTCGTTGCTGGGACAAAATACCTAACGCCCCAAACTAAGGAAGGAAAGGTTTATTAGCTCACAGCTGGTGGAGGTTTCAGACCATACTCGGCTGGCTCCAAGGCAGAGTGCCACACTTCATGGTGGCGGAGAACACCAAAAGCGACAAGAGGGCCAGGGATATAGCTCAGCGGCACAGCGCCTGCCTGGCAAGTGCCAGGCCCTGAGCTCGATTCCCGGTACCAAAACCAAAACCAAAA